TTGCAGACGCCCCACAGACTCCAAAGCCGCTGAGATGATTATTCTTGTCGTTGTTGTTGTTGCTGCTGTTTGTATTGCAACAAAAGCAACAACAAAAACAATAACAACTTATCACACAGCTGGCAGTCATAAAAGAGCCGTAAAAAAGATTATACACATGGCTTGCAACATCAGCGCAATTTGCAGCAAGACATAAAAAAACATAACCTGCAACTTATCTAAAAATTGTAGGCAACAAAAAAAAAAATAGCGAAAAATCATACACAAGATCTTTTGGCCGGCGACAAGAGCAAACTTAAAATGTGCACGTATTTGTTTGTTTGCCTTTTGCAAGAAGTGCCAGACCAAAAAAAGGGGAAAAAAAACCAACAACTACAATAACAATTGGGCCTAAAAGTCTGTTTTTTATGATTTAATATGGGAAAAGTGTTGGGTGGTGCTGACCAATAAAAAATAACAAAAAATTGAGCAAAGCAAATGAAAACAAACAGAAACACATCGTGAGGGCAACGAGGACGAGAAGGGGGTGCTCAGAGGGAATAACTCACGTGAACAACATAATCGCACATTTAAGCGGCTGGCAACATTTTCTTGCTCTCTCTATCTCTCTCTCTCTCTCTCTCTCTCTCTCTGTCTCTCCATCTGACTTAGTCTCCCTCTGTCTCTTTCCCTCTCTGAACTAATGTCGTTGCCCCACAAGCATAGAGCTCCACTCGGTTGCGGCAATGGGGCAACAAGTGTGGACAGTTGCCAGCCTGTGTTGTTGCTAGTTGTTCGCTGTTGCAGTTGCCTCATATTGTTTGTTATGCTGGAGACGTAATAGCCATCTCTGTGAATGAAGCCAAAAGCATTCAAGCTGTTTACTAAATATTAACAACAAGAAGAGCAGCAGCATCAACTGACTGACATGTTGTGTGCGGCACACAGCTTTTATGTAATTATTATTATGTATTCTGAAATGGTCAACAGCACACAAGTTCCATTTATGCCTCTCACTTGCTCCCTGCCAATTGAAATCTCATATTTCATATGTATATTAAGGCCTTAGAAGAAGAGCCAGTAAAGCATTCTATTTTGTATACCCTTGAAGAAGGTTGTTTCTGCTCAGCTTAAAGTTATCCTAATATCTCAATACAATAAATATAATAATAAATATATAAATGATAGTAAATAAAATAAATAAAAGCGTTAATACAATTTTATACTCTTTTTTATACTCTTTAATCGCACATATAATTGACCATTAACTAATTTGATTTTCATCCCAAATCTTAAATCAAACTTAAATTAAGCTAACTTTAGCAATACATTTTTAACGTATAAAATCATAATATTTTTGTTAATGGGCTAAAAACATTTCATAATTTTTCGTACCATGAATTTAAACACTAGTAAATGGCCGTTAATAATGTCATCCTAAAACCTTAATTTAAAATTAAATTAACTGCTGACATATATCAATTAAAAAAATAAAAAAAACAGTGAATAGTAAAACTTAATTGGAAAAAACATAAAATATTTTTTTTATTCCATGATTTGAATGACTCTTTAATCGCACACAGTAAATTACCATTAATTCATTTTAATGTCGTTCCAAATCTTAAATCGCAAATTTGCTTATTAACTTTAAGTTAAAGCATGACACCATCACTGAAAAAATATTTGATGGCAAAAAACGAATTTAGCCTTTTTTCTTTAATAGAGCTGTGTGCAAACAAAGTTTGTCATATTTCTTTTTTATGATTTCGCTTGACTTTTAACATTTGCATTTATCATGCAATATTTTATATATTTTCCGTTATGTGTCATGTTTGCAACCAAAACAAAATTGTTGTGTGTGTGTTGCATTAAAGTTCAATACAGAAGTTTTTGCATGTCAAAGGTTGGGGCAATTAGTGAGCTGCATTTTAAGTTGACCGAGAACCCTTTGGTTATTTGAATGCTTGATATTATGACAAATCCCAAAGCTGCCAAAACTTCGGAATATTATTATAAGCTCCAACACTTGCCGGCCTTACAGCTTGTTGGCAAAAATATGCTAAGATGGCCAAGACGTTGGAGTGGAATGGAGGGAGAGAGGGCATAAGCTGATGGCTCCTACGTACTTAATGAACGCACCTTGTGTTGAGCTCCTTAGTATGCAAAATTACCAAGGCTGTTGCATTAATTAATACACAGCAATGGTTGGGGCGGGGTAGCGTAGTCATCTGCAAAGCAATTGTATAATTAGTGCCCTGGCCCTATCTCTGTCTAACTCAACTAACTCTCGACATCTCTTGCACTCCAGCAAGCAAGCAAACATTTTCCGCACCCCAAGTTGAATAAACGCCTACTTGCTCAGCGGCAGCTCAGTTAAATTTGTCAATTTGAGTTGGTGTTCAATTACAAAAACAACAACAACTGTGTAAAAAAGGGTGCAGAAAATGTCAAAAGCATTTGAAGAAATATTTTCCACAATAAATTCTCGGCTCGAAGCGTAAACGAAGTCGGCGTGCCCAAAATACAGAAAATGATTCGGTTGACTTTGGTATTGGCCGGGCTTAAATTTGTAATGGGTTTGCTTTGGTTCAGCTGGTGGCTGGTGATTGTATTTGCTTTATTTAAGGAAGCATTTTCAAGCACAATTGACTTTGGGCAACCTCATTTGTGCAAGGCGTAAATTTAGTTGCCGGTTGGCTTTGGAATATATATATTCTATTTAAATTCTTGAATTCGGTTTCAACAAGTCCAAGATTTATTAATGACGCATTCACACATAAATTACAGTTTCAGTTACACGTATATTTATTTCTTTTCACTTCATTCGTAAACTTTTTACTGGCATTGAAACACATTCAGTCCGCATTATGAACAGATCGATTTGAATATTTCCAGAGGATTGCAGCTTACAATTATCACCATAATCGCCGCCACGCGAATTGCGTTGCTTGGTGGGCGTTGCCATGCCCCTGCCCCAATAGGTGTCTCATAGGTGGGTACATAACGATGCCAGGTTACCGTCAAATTACGGCCAAAGCCAAAAGCAAAACTTGTTGACGGTTAATGACGACGCCAGTCGTCAGAGCCAGCAGAGACAGTCAAAGAAAACAAAACCAGACATACTCATGCCAACACTCAGACTGAGGCTTACGAGTATGCTCATGGCTCATATGAATTTACACACCCCTCTTATGACCTTGTTCGTAAACGTTTTGGTTGCAAGAGGCGAGCGCGTGCTTAAGTAATGAGGCCCAAATTAGAAGTCAACGGCAATTAGAAGATGCCAACAAATATGTCAACACGGCTTCCGCAATGAGAAGTCGAAAGGTGGGGCAGGAGTTGGTTGCATCTAAAGGTTGAGCATTCAATTAAATGTAGTGCAGCCAAAGTAGAAGCAACAGAACAGCAAGAAAGCCAAGAAAGCCAACTTTATTGCAGCGCTGTCAAAGTAAAAAAGTGAAAACTGAATATCAACTGACCAAAGTAATAAAACGAGGCGAAATGAAATGAAATGAAATGAAACGGAAATGAAACCCAACGGCTGACAAGTAAATAGACAAACAACTGGCAACAAGCCGAGCAGTGCGCAACGAGCAACTTTTCTCACATGCCCCTACATGCAGCAAGCAGCATGTGTGTTGTTGTGTTGATGCCAGTTAAACTTTATCAATGCTACAATAAGACGAACAACAACAACCACTAAAGCAACAATGAGCCAAGTGAGAGAGAAAGCACGACTTCCAGATACCACATACTTAAATCAACATAAGTTGCTTTAAGGCATCTACGGGGACGAGACTTCTGAACATTCTCAAAGATGGTCCGGTCAGTAGACTGAGACTCTATCTGAGACTCTGCTACACCCTCAACGATAAAGAAATGAGAGCCCTAAGATCAGGAGCATTAGCTTTAGCTCATTTATCAACGGGAAGCAGAATAGATCAAATAATAAATATGAATATTTTGGCAGGTGATCTTAACTGATCTATAAAATTTTTGGTTTTTTTCTTCCTATCGATCTATCTTTTTATCGGTTATCCATATTAATATAAAAGAAGACCGTTATCGATAAAGTGAGAATGTCGTTTGTCTTTTGTGTTGCATGCTTAGCCATTGAAAAATAAAACCGGATTAGAATTACATCAAAATGATGCACGAAACTGATCCAATTGGAGATTATAACCCGAGCTCAGTGTTGTTAAGTGTATTAAAGTTTCTTGAAGACCTATTTTATTCCATCTTCCATATTCCATTTGTGTGTGTTCAGAACTTTAATTTAAGACCAATTTTTGATTTGGTATTCAGTCGAAGTTGAGTACTTTAACTTGTTACGTTCCTGTTTTTAATGGGTATGAAAACTACACACACACAGCAGCAGCAGCAACAGGGAACACATGCAGCAGCAGCAGCAGTCGCAGCAGAAGCAACTACAACATCGGGAGCAGAAGCAGGAGCAGGAGCGGTAGCAGCAGCAAAGTTTTCGCTCAAAAACAAGTTGGCATCGTTCCGACTTGGCTTCAGCTACTGCTGCTGTTATTGCTACAGCTCCAACAGTAACTTCAGCTGCAGTTCCAGTTGCTGTTGGCTGTGCTTAAGTCGTAATTCCTCTTTGGGAGTTTTTGACTTCTCAAGTTCAGTTGTGCGCGCTTGTCTAATGCCAACTTATATAATAAATAAGGGAAACACGCACACACGCATAAGCTCCACACACACACACACACACACACACACTGAATAAATGGCTAGTCGAAATGTTGTATTTTATACTTGATTTCATGTGCAGATTTCTCATATAAGCAATACACATTTGTTAAAATAAGTAAAATGCGGTTTATTCAAAAATGGACAGCTTGTTTTAAACTAAAGCGGAAGTAGACTTGACACCATTTGGCAATCATTGAAGTTTTTTTTTTTCAGTGCATATGCTACTGCTTTCTTACTATATGTTTATATACTTTGCTTGTAAGTTTACAAAGTTTATTTGATTCGTTGCAAGACACACACACATATTTTTTACTTACTTCTTTTAGTTCGTTAATTTGGCTGGGCACAAACTTTCGCCATAGACTGTCCCATAAACTTGGTAATGAATTGAAAGGTGTTCTGTGCACAGTTACCACATATGTTTCAACTTATTAACTGCTAAATATTACCCAGGGATCAGCTGCAACAGAGTTTTTAAACAAATTTTGGCTGGTTGGCGAAGAAAAGCAACTAACTTGTTACGAATCTTTTGTTTTTGAATTGGTTGGTTTTCTTCATAAAAACACTTTGTTTACAATACACTGTCTGTTTAATTAGCCTTGGATTCTCAGGACTGTCCTGCAGAACATCAAAGTACCTTGCTAGTATCAAGTACAGGATCTCAGCCTGCCCGACAGAGATTTTCCGCAGGCACACCTGTTGCTCAACAAGACTAGAAGTCTCCTTGCTTCCTCAAGGATTCACTTGTCGCACTCTACGTGATACCGCCTGTTGCTGCAATTCTAGACTGCCAAGGATATACGTTGTATAGCTACGCGTGAATTGATCCTTGGGACTTTAATTTGATTCGACACTTAGTGATTTTCGCACACTACGATTACTTAGTTGTCCTCTGATAGATTTCCCTCAATGATGCCGTCAGACTTTTCTCATAGGCTTCAACTGACCGCGTCTTGTGCTGCAGCGCTCCTTTTATACCATTGTTGGCCACCTTTTGGTGGGACTGTACCAAGGTGGCGTGATCTTTGGGAATTTCCCTCTGCCATTTGCTGACGCCAGCCATTGTCTGCCGTTAGTGTGAGTATGGACAGCAACATTGTCCTCCCGCACTAACGGCACAAGTCCTGACGGCACACGTATGTCAGACACGTTCAGATGGCTGACCAGCTGCGTTGGAAAGGGGGCGGGCTAAAGAAAACCAATTCGCCGCAACTGCATCGGAGCCTATTTTGTTAATTTTCCTTTTATACAATTTGATAAGCTCAAGTGCCTCGTGTGGATATCCTCATGTGTTCGGCTTCGGCGTGGAGCCGTAGCACCTGGAGTCGAGCCACCTTGTCCTCCGGCTTTGGATTCGATGGCAGCTTTGGGTTTTGCCACCGTATCCAATCAGAATTTTCGTCGTCGAGGTCGCTCGGATATCGTGTCCGCCGCACCCACCGAACTCAACGGCTTCTCCATATTGTCCTCGTCGTCTCATTATCCGCACCAAGCGTCTGCGCTGGAGTAACGGCAGCTGTTGATCCTTCTTTCCGTCCGCACATGACAACAGCCTCGTTGCTGGCTATTGTGCGGGGATTAGGGACGAAGGATGGACGGGGCCCGCCTCTTATGCGAATTTTCCATTTATTTTCTTCCTTTTGTTATTAGTCTGTCAAACCTCAGTGAAACTGAAATTGTGTCTGTGAGTCGTGTTTGTGCAACTGTTAGTGACACCCGAACTGTGTCACTCTCTAATTGTTGCAACGGTGCCTTTTTGGTGCAAGCGCCTATCTAAGCGGGAGTGTCGAACGAACGTTGACCTTTTGTTGCAAGTGCGCTTGTGCTCTAGTTTATGTCATGGCTGTTCCTGCTCTCCTCGCATGCCGTCTCTCTTGTGCTCGTTGCTTTCGTACGTTGTCCGAATATTTCCTTTAATTGTTTTCAATTAATTATTTATTATTTATTACAATTTAAATGATTTATTTATTATTTATTACAATTTAAACGATTTATTTATTATTTATTACACTGCCGTTGGCAGCCTTGGCTCCCGACAATGTGTGTTGAAGGCAGCGCTATACCCTGTAGAGCTTGACACGTCTTTGATTATCCTCTGTGAATTGTGCGATCATCGTTTTCACAGTATGATCGGTACTCCAAACCCGGCCAAAATCGTTATCGATATGACCCTCCTCGCCTTGACGTAGCTCCTTGACGTTTCTAGGGGCTTACATTCAGCGATCGCAGCTATTTTCCCTGGATCAGTGCGTATCCCTTCTTCAGTCATCTGGTGGCCAGGATATTTAAACTACTTCTTGAAGAATTTAGTATTAACATTGTGTCCAATACTCCTCCCAATACTCCCTGATGGGCATGTGTGTCAGACACGTTCAGATGGCTGACCAGCTGCGTTAGAAAGGGAGAGGACGAATGAGAGCCAATTCGCCGCAACTGCATCAGGGCCGGATTTCGGCATATGACATGTTTAAGCAAACACGCGCATATTCCCATGTCTCTATACATATTTTTTGTTTTATTCAATATCAAATTTGTTAGAAATCACAGTTTAATAAAGTTCGAGAAACTTAATTTCAAGCCTTTTAATCAATTTCTCTATAAATATAGAATTCATAGCCATCAATTTACCACTTTAGATGAATTTATGTGTGTACTAATACTTTTTCACTCTGATAAGTGATTATTTTTAGTTTGTCCATAAATATTTTCAATTGGCATTTAACATTCGATGCAATTCAGTAAATCTGTGGACCAAAAATAAACTATTTGAATCGTGCATTTTAATCTATTATGCAAATGGAAATCAAACGATGCAAATTTAAACCAATGCCTGGCCATCAAATTAAAAACAAATAAACTAAACCAAATGACAACAAATCAAAAATGTCGCCGACTACAAAATGTCCACAAAACAAATCCAGATCCAGAGAAAAAGCTAAAGCGAAGGCCTACAGAATTTGTGAACAGATTTACTCGACAGCCTCTAAACAATGGCCACAAGCAAAAGCTTCTGTTTCCGCTTTTGGTTAGAACAATTTCCATGGAAATGCTCGGAGGGTTGGAACGGCTAAAATATTTGTCAAATGTTGCACAAATGCCCCCAAAAAAAAAAAGCAAATGTTTGCGTCGTTGGGAAAAAGGGGCAAGTTACGAGTTGGGGCATAGCTGGTGGCTTGCAGCGTGTGTAGAAAAATGCAAATTTTTCTGTATTGTTTTTGCATCACATTGAAATTTTGTATCAAATTGAAAAACGCATGGCAAAAATGCCAAGACAAAAAAATACCCTGTTATAAGTTAAAAAATAATTTATGATTGCAATCAAACATTTATTTATGAAGATCAATAGCTAAAAAATATCTGTTTCGATTATTTTAATATTTCTTTATATGATACACATGCATCACATATAACAAGTACAGAGAGAACAGAACTTACACGATATCCTTAAAAAAATAATCAAATTTTTTGTCAGCAAAGGGAAACTTCTACCATGCTGAAAATGCCGTTGCTGCAATTGCTTTTGTCAGGACGTTCTTTAAAGCTCTGGCCACTTTTTGGTTATATTTCTGTATTAAAAACGGTTTTGTTGTGTGGAACGTTAGAATGTTTATGGGGTGGACGCTGAAGCACTAAGAACAACAGCAGCACCAGCAGCACCAGCAGTCACTGCAGATGCTCGCCAAAGTGGACGTGTGTGTGAGTGTGTGTTGGAGTTTATAGCATACTTTAAGGCGCCATAAGCTTATATTGCACTTAATAGCACATAAAAAGTGGTACGTGATAATGCAACGCACCACAAAAGTGGCCATTCGATGTGGAACAACCAAAGTGTGCCAAACACACGATAGCATCCGATGTGTTTGTCGGAAAAAACCCCAGGAAAGACTAAAGTTAGTTAAAGTGACTACAGTTAAGGGCTAAACATAATAAGGTTATCAAACAATGAGAGCAGAACAGTTGCATCCCATGTAATTTCCAAGATTCACATAAAAGAGAATTACAAATTAAAAGAATATTAATAGAGCAATTAACCGTGGAGGCGACAGATCAGCTTATATATGTAATAATACATTGAAGCGCAAAAATAATTAATTATAATAAAAAATAAGTAGAAATTCAACTCATGTAACAGTTAAAGCAAGCATAATCAGTTATGTAAGCAAATTTTAATGAAAAAATAAATGCAAAATTACAATTTTTTAAGGACTTAATACTTGATACTTAATAAACCAATTTGAAATCCAAGTTGAAACACAACAGATAAATATCAGCATGCAAATGAAATTCATTACTTCACAAGTCCTTGAAATGTGTCTCAGCTACCAAAACTATCTGTCAACTGAGTGAAAAATCTTGAACTTTGATGCCCGGACCACATCATTTATTGAAGGCAAACACCAATCAGGATGATGGTGTCACTGTGGTGTGAAAAGCTTTTGCTATAATTGACAATATCTTTATTGTTTTGTATAGTTTTGGTCTATTTCAAGAGTTTCTGAAGTGACTTTAAAAACTTATAGCTACATGTCACATGTCCGTGTGACAGTTAGTTATTTAGTTTTGTTGCTGCTGATATTGTTGTTATTGTGATTGCTGTTGATTTTCATGTTGTTGATCGAAGTGGAACAACAAGGGACAGCAAAACATGCACAACGCCCAACGCGTGCCTGTAAACAAGGTTCGCACATCAGCAATATAAACAGGCCAATTAAAGGTTATCAACAGCCTTCACGCATCGTTAGAATACATATAGGACCTCCCTTCTCACACCCATCCATCAATCAAAAATGGTTTACCATCTAAGTGAAAACATTGCGAAAGCAACACAAATACAAACAACAAATGCGTGTGTGTGTTTGTGTGTGTGTGTGTGTGTGGGTATGGGTGTTTGCTGTGCGTGACGGTAAATGTTAAATGTCAAATAGAAAATGGAATGGAAAATGGAATTTTCTCATTTAATCATTGCAACTACAAATAAAATAAAGAAGCTGCCGTTGCATTCACATCGACTGAGCTTGAAAATCAGTTATTCATTTGTTGCAGCCACAAAAGTTCTGCAACTCACATGGAAATTGAGTGATATATACCCTAGAATTGAGAAAATCAGCTTGCACTGTCAGTGTTTTTCTTTTAACATCAAAATGTGTATATAAATATTCCTTTTTACAATGCAGAAATAAATCTTAGAAATTGATTATTAAAAATGGAACGATAAAATATTATTTGGTTTGTCGATTTTCAAAATAAAAGTTCTGATTTGAAATAAATATAATCCATTCAGTCAAGAATATCAGCTTTGTCTTTTTCTGAATTTGGAAATTACTTTTCAAATATCAGAAATAATATTATATACTATATTTATCCAAATCATAGAAGGCTTGAGAAAAAAGTTGAAATAAATAAATCGTTATTGGGAGAGTTGATTTTATGCAAGTGTTTCCACAAAAAATATATATAGTGAATGTATTCTTAGCAATATGCAAAATTCAGGCTCATATTTTTTCTCTGAGTGCACATACACACACACAGACATAATTGAATTCAAATTCAAAGCCAGTCATTTAGTCAATCATTCAAGTTGTCAATTGCTGCCGAACACCAAGTCATTTGTATGGTCAACAGTCGGTTGTGGTTTGGCTTGGGAGCTACTTGAATTATTTCCCTCATTTCACATGCATGCACATTGTTGCCGCATGTTGATGTTGCCATCGTTGTTGCTGTCGTTGTTGCTGATGTCAGACAACAACAGTCTGCTCGACTCGTTGTTCTTCTTGTTCCCTGTTGTCGTTCATCAGCTATAAAACTTGCACTTTACTTGCCTGACTTACTGGCTGCTTACTGCTTACAACCTACAGCTAACTGCTTCCAGTTGCAGCGACCCATAAAAGTATTCTACAAT